ATTATGTTAGCAATAATGTTTCCAGCTGCCTAGGACTCCATTGCAATTTAATTTGAAAGGAACTCAAATTGCATTTTCAAATGGAAGAAAAAATTAATTTTACATACAAGCAACTCACCTCCACATTTTTCAGCCCCATGCCCCAAATTATCTCAATTTAAGTTCAACTTTGAACAGTCTATATGTTATAGCCAGCACCACATACAAAGATGAACGCAGAGAACATTCATGATTTGAAAATCTGCTTTGCTGCTCCCTTTTTTTTTTTAAATAAGATGTTCTGTCTTGATTAAGGTCAGTAGGTGATTTTATAGCTCTTGCCTTTGACAGCAGTAACAGAGACTGGGTGCCTATATGGAACCAAAAAAAAAAATTCTCCAATTGTGACTGAACCTCATGATTGGCTTTAACAATTGTAGTATTTTAGAGCTTGTACCCAACCTTTTACTTATTGCTTTCTCCCTGAACTATGTTAGTATATTGATTGTGTTTTGATCTTCAGCCACCCCCTATGCTCTATATTTATTCATTCTTAATAAGTTAGTATCTGTTCTGGTTATAAAGTAGAAGAGACTGAGGGACTCACCAGTTAGCAGAAGGTGGACTTGAATCAAACATAAAACAATGAACGCACAATTGAATAAGGGTTATGCGGGAAGTGTAATAATAAGTCAAAGAAAACAGAGGAAGAGGTGCTCATGTAGTTTACATTAGAAAGACTTTGGGGAGAAAGTTACATGAAAAGAGTGACACTGGCATTGAGCCTGGGATACTTGATAAGGGTCTGATCAGTGGCATGCCCCAGAAAGGGATGGATGTGTACCAAAGAGTGGGGCATATAAAGACTCAGAATAATTCACTATAGGCATACTTGGTTCAGTGATGGAGCAATGGGGGAAAAAAGGGAAGAAATTTGGAGTGAGAGAATATCAGCTGCAGATCGAGTTCAGGTTTGTAGTTGAAAATAGTACATTGGCGGTGGGAAATTAAGTGTACACTGGAGAGGGGACAGATGTTGGAATACTGTATGACTGAAACCCAACCATGAACACTTTTTTAACTGTGTATCTCATGGAAATTCAATTGAAAAAAAAACTAAAGAAAATAGTACCAGGGGAAATGACCCTTTCATGAGCAGGAAACCAGTCTATGTGGCAGAAGCAGCCGCAAGAATGAGAGCTTCACATTCAGGTTCAAGTCCATCAGCCACATGCATGCCCCCATCCCTGCCACACACAGGAACACAGGTGGGTCTGGATGCAACCAGAAGCCTGTGGCCCCTTTCCTTCCTCGCAACCTGCTTCCTCAAAGGGCCTAGTACACTTGGGTGTGGGACCTCAGTCCTCCTATCCAAACTGCACCCGCTCTCTCCTCACTCCATCTCTTTAGAGGGCTGGGGTGATGGCTCAATGGGCTGGCACACACATTTTGCATAGGAAAGCTCCAGGTTTAATCATCGACACCATAGGGTCCCCTAAAGCACCACCATGTGTGGCTTAAGAAAAGGTATTTATTGTCGGCACCCCTTGGACCTGGGGGTGCAACACATAGAGAGTAGAAGTAGATCTGGGAAAGGCCATGAGAGAAGCGCTTCATGCTGGCCCTTAAAATGAGTGGGAGGCCCCTGGAGCAGGAGAGTACTCTGGGTATCAGGTTTGAAGTCTGACCCAGCAGGCAGAGGATCAGGACCAGGTAGGTTTATTTGCTCAGTGACTTCAGCTGCAGGCAGAGGGTTCAGCTTGTAGAAGACTGGCGTGTACACTCCAAAGCACAGTGCTCAGGACAGGGTCTCCATGGCCAAATCTAAGGATTTGGGGAAGAATACTCAGCACCCAGGTGGCTCACTCCTTTATTTTTCTATCAGAGGATGATTTTCTGGTTTTCCACACCAGCCTAGCTCTCTTCTTACTGCTTGTCATTACACAGAAGGTCATCTGGACAGAGCCTTATCTGGAGGCAGAAACTATAGGCTCTGGGCTTGGGTGTATTTACACGGGGGATGTAAATTCAACAAACCCATCTCCACTGCACACACAAGGCTTTCTCAGCAATTTCCAACTTGTTTGCACCAACTGAATGTAAACCTGTGACTCTCCCGGTTGGAGGCAGTCACTTGAGCTGAAGGTAGGTTTAGCAGATGAGACTGGGGAGAGGGGTGTCAGATTGAAAGCGTGAAAATTTCCATCATGCATTTTCCAGGCTGGATTCTATTGTGTAGGTGGCATCAGGACCTTCTTTGGCTTGAATACAAAAGTAGATCCATCCATTTGCCTTTGCGACCAGGGGATGTGCTGGAGGGGGTGGAACCGGGACTTTGGGGGTTCCCGAGAGCACATTGCCATCTGTTCATTTTAGGATAAGGCACATGAGCAGGAGCCGGTACAGACCCTGCTCTGTGCTGCAGGTGCCAGGCAAACAGGACAGGCCCTGACCACCTGAGAGGAGTGATGGAGAGGTGAACAAGCAACTCCCCAAAGCGTGACCACTGCTCAGTGTGCTCGACAGCTGTGCGGAGTGTGTGGGGACTCGGTTGTGTGACTCTGACTAAGTCATGCCTTTTTATTGGCCATCATTCTCTCTGCTGAGAGTTGTTTCCAGCAGGTAGAGGCTAAGCCCTGAATTTCTGCTTAAGAAATAGCTGCCAGACTTGCACTTCGAGCCCGTGTTCTCCCTTGAACATGGTTCTCCTTGCTTGTCTCTGTTTCTTTGCTTGCTTATTTCCACTCTGGAAAAGCCCACTCAAACATACACTTCTCCTTCTGTCTTCCCTCACATCTTTCAAAATAAATTTCCATTTAAAAACTATCTTGGTTCAGAAGAAAGAAAGAAAGAAAGAAAGAAAGAAAGAAAGAAAGAAAGAGAGAGAGAGAAAGAGAGAGGGGAAAGGAAGGAAGGAAGGAAGGAAGGAAGGAAGGAAGGAAGGAAGGAAGGAAGGAAGGAAAGGGAAGGAAGGAAGGAAGGAAGGAAGGAAGGAAGGAAGGAAGGAAGGAAGGAAGGAAGGAAAGAAAGAAAGAGAGAGTCAGACCAACAATCCAGTGGGTAGGACACTTGCCTTGTAAGCAGCTGACCTGGGTTTTGATCCCTGGCATCCTATATGGTCCCCCATGCCAGGAATGACCCCTGAGTGCAGAACCAGGAGTAAGTCCTGAGTACCACCAGATGTGGCCTCAAAACCCAAACCCTTCCCCAACAAATGAAGAAAGAGTGTCTGAGTGTGTGTCTCTGTGTGTATGAGAGAGAGAGAGAGAGAGAGAGAGAGAGAGAGAGAGAGAGAGAGGTGAGAGAGAGATGGGAAAGAAAGGAGGGAGAAAGGGAGGGAGGGAGGGAGGGAGGGAGGGAGGGAGGGTCCCTGAAAGCTGAAAGAGCTTGGAATCCTTCTCAGTGGAGAGCTGCTATGAAGTGTGTTCCTTGTGGCCAAAGGCATTTGCCCTCCAGGGTCAGATCAGAGAACCAAACGGGCATCAAGTCCCCCCCCCCCCACCACACACACACACACACACACACACACAGATACACCATTCTTATTACTGAATTGACACAGCCTCCCCCATGCTCTGAGGGGACCAGAGAGATGAGAGCACCTGTCACTTTACCTAAGATGCTGCTACTCAGCACCACTACTTGTAAGATGTTCAGAATACTAAGCCTTATTATTTTTCCTACTACTCCTATTTCTGGAGGCAGAAAACACCTTCATAAAACCCAGCAACAACAACAAATACAAAACATTCTACTATGTCTGGAATACTTATTATGTTCCAGGTGCAGTTCTAACTACTTTGCAAACAACATGACATTTCATGCCCCTCCCGATGAAGTTACCTACTATTATTCTCACCATTTTACAATGAAATCAGAAAGAAACCCAAGCAGATTGCATGCTTTGGCCAGTCCTGGTGGGCAGGCAGTATTGGACACAGCATACTGATTTCATCTCGAGCCTGCGCTTCACTACACCCAGCTGAGAGAATGTGACACCAGACTGTGAGGGGACGCTGATCACCAATGAACTGATGCGTCTGTCCTAACAAATGTGTGTGCCTTATGGAATGGGCTTTCTGTTAGGGTGGGGCATAACATTTTTGTATGTTTTCATAATCTATTTTGTACAAACACGTCTGTTTCATTTGTGTGAAGTATCCACAGAATATTCATAATAAAATAAGACACTGACATTGTGATGCATTAGGATCTGGGAATGGTATCAGCAGGGAGGGATGATTGAGAGAGTGTTTGGGCAAGAGGCATGATCTAATCAATGATGGAAGGAGTACCAGGTGATCCTAAAAGGGGGAAAGAAAGGAGAGAACAATGGGTTAAGGAGAGAATAGAGGGTGTTTTCCAAGGAAAATGCCCAAGGAGACTAGGACATGATGGCCAGTTTGTTGATGAAAGGGTGATTCCAAGGAACATCCGTAGGCTGTATGTGAATGGATGTTGGGGTGGAGGTGCATGTGTGCAGAAAGAGATTCTTTTCCCAGCCTGTGAGCCTTGGTTTAAAACCTACTGATTTCCCAGGGGGAGAGGATGCAGCTTGATTAAACCTAAGGAGACAGGTGAGAACTCCAGTCACCTTCCAAATAAATACCTCCCAAAGCATTGTTGTGTGTTATTGGTGATCTCCAAGATGACTTTGGGAGGCTCCCTGATGGACCCTTAGGAATTCAGCAGCTTTTGCATTTATTGTTATCGTTGATATTTATTTACGGCAAGCGAGGGAAAGAGATGGCAAGTGAACAAATAAATAAAAAATTGGACTTTCCCTTTATATGGTTTCCTTTTCAATGCAAGATTTGTAAGCAAGGGGGGGGGAGGAGTTTGATTTAAAAGATTACTGAGCAGAATTAAATTATATCCCAGGTGGCAAAAATCATGAAGGATGTGGGTGAGATATTAAGTTTCAAAAGCTGCTCCTCCACCCCCTCCAGCCACCCCTCCCCCCTTAGTGGAGCAGCCATTTGCCTTGCTCAGAGCCCTTTTGTGCTTTGCCTATCTTGCAGACCCAGTGCATGGTCCACAGAATGTGGAGATCGTGGATATCCGGGCCCGCCAGCTGACCCTGCAGTGGGAGCCCTTTGGCTATGCGGTGACCCGCTGCCACAGCTACAACCTCACGGTTCAGTACCAGTACGTGTTCAACCAGCAGCAGTACGAGGCCGAAGAGGTGATTCAGACCTCCTCCCACTACACCCTGCGTGGCCTTCGTCCTTTCATGACCATTCGGCTGCGCCTCCTGCTGTCCAACCCCGAGGGCCGGATGGAGAGCGAGGAGCTGGTGGTTCAGACGGAAGAGGATGGTGAGTTTATTTGGGAACGGCAGGCCAGCTTTTGGGGGGTGTGCCTAGCATGGGGGAGGTTGCCCCTACTGCTTATACCTCCCACACTGTCTCAGCCTCACCGTATCACTGTTCATCTGTTGTTTATCGATTTCCTCGAGCAGGCACCAGTTAACATGTCCATTCGTCCTAGCTCTGAGGATTTACAAGTGCCACACTGGAGGCTCTTTCAGAGTCAGGGAAATGAGACCCATCATTGTTACTGGGTTTTAGTAAAGTAAAGTAAAAAGTAAAGGCCCTCCCGTTGATCATCGATTTGCTCGAGCAGGTCCAGTAACGTCTCTATTGGAGACTTTGTTGTTACTGTGTCTGGCATATTGAATACTCTCGGTAGCTTGCCAGACTCTCCGAGAGGGGCGGAGGAATCGAACTCAGGTCGGCCATGTTGGCTGCGTGCAAGGCAGACGCCCTACCCGCTGTGCTGGGTTTTGGCATATCGAATACACCATGGGGAGCTTGCCAGATTTTGCCGTGTTTGCTGTGTGGGCAGCATACTCTAGGTAGCCTGCAGGGTTCTCTGAGAGCGAGTACTAGACAATAAGAGGTCGCTTCTGGAAGCTTGGTTTTATAGCCTCTGGATCTTGGCCATTGATGGGATTACATGGCACAGGGGGCAGTTGGTGGGTGTAACTGTCTAGCTACTGGAAGATGGGGGATCTGGGTGGAGGAGGCCCAGTCCCAATCCAAGCAGGCTTGGAGATCTCAGCCCCAGGTCCCGCACACCTGGGTTCCTCTGCTGGTTCCTTCATGCCTGAGGCTCATCCAAGCGTGTGGAAAGTGTCTTAAGCATGGCTGTCTCAGCCTCAGTTTTCCCAAATCTTTTCTCCAGGGCTAGGCCGGCTGTGCATGGCCGTACCTCCAGGGGGCACTGTTCCCAAGGATCGTCCCAGCTACATCACAGACATGCAAGCACGTTCCCCACCACTTCCCTCTTCTCACTTCATCCCACCTTCTGTTCTCCACATTTCACCACCGCAAGCCTCTTAAAAAGAGACACAGGCTACAGTCAAAGTATGTGGAGTTTGGAATCCGATAATTCTGCACTGCGTAAGAATTAAAATCAGACAATGCACAGAACGAGCTTAGATGAACATTGAGCATATCCAGAAATACAGACTCAGTAGGATGGAAATCCTAGGGGCATTTTGAACCCAGACTATTTTTTTCTTCTTTTATTTATTTATTGAATCACTGTAGGAATAGTTACAAAGCTTTCAGGTTTAAGTCTCGGTCATACAATGATCAAATACCTTTCCCTTCACCAGTACTCATTTTTCACCACCAAGAACCCCAATATACCCCTCTCCCACCCCTCCCAATGCCTGTGAGGCAGATGATTTCTACTTAAGTTTTCTCTACATTTATTACATTCATTATTTCAACAAAAGATGCACCATTATTGTTTAGAATTACTCCCCCCCCCCCACCCCAACAATCAGAATTGCTGAAAAGGCATTGTGAAATACTTTGTTTTCTATAGCTGGTTATGAGAATCATATAATGATTTTGGATTTCTGCAAAGAGCCAGATAATTTCGACATTGGTTTCTGTGTGTCTGGTGTTATGGCTGTGCCAGAGAGCCGCTCATGGCGGGCAACTCGTGACCTCGGTAGGGCATGAAGGATGAGCCGGTACCACCCCCCCCCCTCCCATGAGACTGTAGTTGCCCCGTCATCGCCAGCTCATACCTGGCTTTCCCATAAGCTCTGAGGCAGTGGCCACCTTGCTGCCAGGGAAGAGGGGAGGCGGGAGGCGGAAGGGAGCAACACCCTTTCCCTCCCAGGGAGGCATGGCACCATAGTTTAAGGCATGGTCCATTCACTTTTCTGCTGCAAGCTGCTGGGCTCTGGATTAAGTCCTTTTGCCTCTGGAGCCATGGCCGTGCCAGAGCCGCTTGTCTGGGGCAACTTGTGACCTCGGTAGGGCGTGAAGGACGAGCCAGTACTGTTCCCCTTCCCATGAGACTGCAGTTGCCCTGTCATCGCTAGCTCATACCTGGCTTTCCAATAAGCTCTGAGGTGGTGGCCAGCTTGTATGCGTTCCAGATGCATTTCTGCCAAAAGCCACTTGGTTTCGAGATTTGTTTCTGAGTCTCTGGGATCATGGCCATTAATCAGCTTGATCAGGAGCCAGAGAGGCCGTTTGTAGGCGGCAACTCGGGGTCTCGTTGGGATGGAGAGGAAAGGGCCAGTTCCTCCCCCATATGATGAGGCCCGGCGTGTCTTATCACTGCAGGCGCAGACCTGACTGTCCAGTGGCCTCTGGAGGATGGTGGTCACCGGGCCACCAGGGGGAACAGGTCAAGGCACGAAACCTATTCCCACCTGGAGTGGCCCAGCGCCAATAACCTACTGCAGGAACAGGACGCATTTCTGCCAAAAGCCTTTGGGTTCTGAGATTCATTTCTGAGTCTCTGGGATCATGGCCATTAAGCAGTTCGATCAGGAACCAGAGAGGCCATGCCTCCAATTATATAGCTGAGCCGGAGGTGGTTTGTGGGTGTGTCTCCCACATTCCTAACTTTTGGCCATTTACTTTCTTGGTAAACTTTGCCCCAATTTTGGGGGGTCTGGCCAAAGGCACAGCAGCAGTTTTGGGGTATCTGAAAGTCTGAATGGTGCCATCAGGCTGCTGATGCACTCGCCTCACAGGTACAGATTGATCTGCTGGTGGCACCATACCCCCTCAGACTATTTTTCTTAAATACTAATCTCCTTGTCTACACTGACTTCATCCTCTGTGTCTCTCATCTCACTGAGTTGAAACTCAAGGTAAGGAAGTGAAGTCAGCCCATCACCCCCATCTTCTACTCTGCGTTTGGACAGGGTTGCTTTCTGCACTTACCCTTCACAGTGTCCCTGAGTTCAAGAGTCCTCACATCGAGAGCATATGCACTTCGTGGCACACATGGTATTTTTTGCTCCTCTGTCCTCACCCAGGCACTTCCACCAGCTTGGAATCAATCTCCCTCTTATTTGCAAATGAGTTCTATTAGACATGCAGGATTTCTTCACATGCATCTTCCTCCAGGAAGCTTTTCCTAACTTCCCCCGGTCTCGTTGGGTATTCCTTCCCAGGCAGCCCCTGCATTTTGCATGTAACTCCACCACAGGTTATCATGATTGTGGTGAAAGAGGTTAGAACCAGCAACTCTGAGGACTCATCTAGGAAACACTCCTTCCTGGATGCCTTTTGCTCTCCCCTGCAGTTTAATTTATTACTTTACTTTAATTCACCTTGAGTTATGAGGTGAATTAAAGAAGTTTTCCCAGGAAATACCGTGGAAATCATGAGAAAGGCAGGTCAGAAAAGGGAAGAAGCCAAGGTACAACTTTAGGCCAGGTTTAGACTGGGTCTGGGGCTGGGATGGGGAGAAGACTTCTGTCCACTGGAGACCTCCTCAGGGTAGCTACATGAGTTCTTGCTCCAAATCCTAACAAGGAATTTCCAGCATGGGGGTAGGGAGGGACACTTGGGAAGTTATCCTTAGACAGGACACATTGGGCTCGCAGCACTATAATCCGTAAACTGAGGAGCACAAAATAGCATAAAGGGGTCAACAAGGTATCTCAGTGGTAGAGCACATACCTCAGGCAGAGCATCCTCTGTGCAAATGTATGCTGTACTGTTGCTTCACGAAACAATCCAAAGACCCCGTGAGTCCAGGGGGATGCTTCCAAGTCCACTATAAGATGAAGCAAGCATGCTAACCTCTGTCCCTGATCCCTGATGATCATTTCCCCAAGGCCCATCCTAGAGCTTCAGGGATCACACAAGTTACCTTCTAAACAAACTTTGCCTTACCTCCTTTAAGTCTATCCTGTCCCCCCTCATTGCTGCCTCTGCAGAGTGTGCTTCTGAGAACAGCAGTGGTGTCTCAGCTGCTGTCAGCAGGGCTCCTACCTGCCTTGCAGTGCCTCCCAGGCCTCTAGGGGGGCCACCCCTATCCACCTCATTGGCATCCAGGCCACCTGCAATCTCTGCTTCCTTTGAATCCAAACCTGCACTCAGAGAAGCCAGCTCTGCAGCCAGGTGTGACTGGGACAAGTGGTCAAACCCGCCCAGCCTTGGTCTCCTCATCTGCCGAGCTGTTGTTCCTGAGATTACCACCTCCTGGATCTCTGTGCTCATTAAAGCCACGGTATAGAAAACAACTGGAACTATGCAGAGCAGATTGTTATGTTTTCTAAAAAAGCAGTTGCTACATGTGCAACTCCATCAGGAAAAGAATGGAAAAGTCTATGAACCCAGAATCCTCAACATAAATAAGCCAGAAAGCTCCCAGGGGTGCCAGGAAGCCTGCTCAGGCTCTACCACCCAGGCCCAGTGTCCAAGAAAAATCACAGATGCTGCTCCCCAGCACAGTGACGTGGCTGGGGCAGGAGCGTGGTTTGGGGGTGCCTGGGAAGTTCTTGCTATCTTAAATAAAGAGGCACAACTGAGAGCCCTGAACAGGGAGCTTTTGTGAGCTGAAAGAGTGAATTCAACCAGCAGAGCCCACGGCACCTTTGATTCTTTTTCTTGGAGATTCTGCCTGTCTCAGTTTTCCTACACACACACACACACACACAGACACACACACACACACACACACACACACACACACACACACAAAGCCAATCCCAAATCCCATCTGTAAAGCATGTCCTAACCTCTTGTCACCAAGGGGGTAAAAAAAATCACAAAACCTTTATCACAATGTGAGAGTAGCAATGCTTTGAAATTAAATTTTAATTAACATCCATTAATAAAGCATAAATTCTTACTCTACTGAGAAATGCGGACGTTATCGCATTAAAAACCACATCATACCCATCAAACATGATCCTGGCGCCTTGTCCCTTAGCAACACTGAGTTCACCGAGAATACTGGCATCCCCTGTGCAGCAGGATGAGGCCAAACTCCTACCCCCAAGAGGGGAGAGACCCTTTATCTCTTACATAGAGAGTTCATCACCTCA